ACCAAGGATGTTTCCTAGGGAGGTGGGGTCTCACACAGGCCTCTTTCCAGGGATGACCATCCCTCCAGTTTTAACTTGATAGGGCTCTTCTAATGTAACTGGCCAATAATTTGCTCTTCCCTTCTCTCCTCCCACCCCATTTCTTGAAAACCAAACTAGGCTTCCAAGGTATGCCCAACAGTATGCGCCAGTCTGGGCCGCGGCCCACTCTACGGCATTTGGCTCCCACAAGCGCTGCTCAAGCGTCACGTGGTTTGCCTGGTGCTCCCCAGAGGATTGGTAAGCACTTTGCCCAGAGGTGGAATCTTTTCATTTATTTTTTAAACAAATATGAATTTATAATTTGTTAGGTTTAGACAGACTTGCAGACACACACCCACCCTCGCAGAAGCATCAGTTAACGTTGATTAACTGATGGATCTGATATACCTACCAGCTATCCAGTAGCTGTTGGACAGATTCTTCTGGTAGTAAATGTGACATTTGCTACAAATCTTTTGAATGAATGAATGAATGAATGAATGAGAAAGAAAGAAAGAAAGAAAGAAAAAGAAAGAAAGAAAGAAAGAAAGAAAGAAAGAAAGAAAGAAAGAAAGAAAGAAAGAAAGAAATAGTTGTCTAAGCCAACTCTTTGGAGGTGCTGAAATTGCAACTTCCAGAGTTTCCAGCCAATTCAGCTAATATGCTGATTGGGAACGTGAGGCGTATGTGTATGGGGGGGGGATATTTAGGGAAATATTTAAGAGATATTTCCCCAAAATATTTAGGGAAGGTATTAAATTGTTGAACAAGGTTGCCATACTGTAGCAGAAGCTTTTTGATTCAACCAATATATCAGTAAAGGAAATAATAGATTGGAATTCAAATAAACTGCCTGGATTATTGCTAGTATCGGTTTAAGACATGCTTACATGAAATAAAACATTTGTCTGTGGTTCCTCAAACAAGATTAATGCATGCTAATGAAAAACTTCTTTGATAAGCTTCTGATACTCCACAATTTCTCTGTATAAACAGGGGTTGCCGCCACAGCCCCAAATTTGGCTCCTCGGCCACCTGTAGTCACCAAAGCTCCCAGGGCTGTTCCACCATACAAATATGCTGCAGGCATCCACAGCCCCCACCCAGCAGTCCAGCCTTTACAGGTAACGCAAAGCCTTGGAAGAACCCTAGCAGGTCTGGTGCCTGATTTCAACCCAACAGCAGCCCTGGCCAAGTCTTTGGGTTTCAGATAGAAACGGGAATGATATTTCTTTTTTCCTATTTGAGACCTTCCACAGTTTTTTTTTTCTCCACTGTGAAAATGCAGTGGTTTTCTAGGCTCCAACTAAGTAGGCTTTTGATATTTGAGCAGCAATTTACATTCTGACCTACAAAGCCATAGTTGTTTCTTGCAAAGAATGATGACTTTTGTGCTGCCGTGCACATAGACATGTTCTGGCAGATGTAAACCACTCAGCTTTGCACCTAGTAATCCAAAGAATTATTTCATGCTTGTTAGTGTTGTACTGTCTCTGGCATAACATGCCCAGGAGAGCAGTTTTGGCTCTAGGTTAGCGTCTCTCAAACTCAGCGCCTTTAAGACAGATGGACTTCAACCGGCTGGCGTTGCTGGCTTGGGAATCCTGAGAGTTGAAGTCCACCCGTCTTAAATGTGAGAAACTGCTGTAAGTCATTCCTAAGAGTTTTCAGTAAACTGATTGGTAGGAGATGTTGCCATTTTAGATAAAATATCAGGGAACAGTCTCAAATCATTTAGTATATTTTAATCCTTGATGTTGCTCTTTCACTTCAATGAGCTATTTCCTCAGCTAAGGGAGAAGCCTTTTTTTTTTTACTTTGGTGAGGAAAGTATGTCCTTCTCTTGAGCATTTTATTTTTCGTGTGTCTTCTAAATTTGGTAGAATTGCTTCCATGATATCTTTGTGGGCTGTGCTAATGGCAAAATCCCTGGTTTCCTCATAGGCCCCACAGCCTGCTGTTCACGTGCAGGGACAAGAGCCTTTGACAGCATCCATGCTGGCTGCTGCACCTCCCCAGGAGCAAAAGCAAATGCTGGGTGAGCCAGTCCCTCTCTCATCTCTCCCTTGGGGCATCTAGGGGGTTTTCAGCATCTGCATGGCTCTTCTGTCCTAGCCATATGTGCAAAATAGTTATGGATTAGGGGAACAAGTCTCCCTGAAAAGTGTAGGAATCCTAAACTCAGGTGTCCCCTGGGCAACGACACAGAGTTGGCTAATTCTTCCACAACAGCAGCAGGCAATTCTTGTGATCTCCTGGCTTAAAACACTTCACTATGAGTAGACTCAGGATGCCATATGCTCAATAAAATAAAGTCATCAACTCTCTTGATTTTTGCTTCTTCAGGAGAACGTCTCTTTCCGCTGATCCAGGCAATGCACCTCAGCCTGGCAGGGAAGATCACTGGGATGCTGCTGGAGATTGACAACTCAGAGCTGCTACACATGCTGGAGTCTCCAGAATCCCTCCGCTCCAAGGTAAGCACTAATGGTCCCCAATCCTGGGTCAGGAGCATTGGCTGCTCTCTGCTTCTGCTGGCTTGCTGGAGTGTGACCATCAGGGAGAGCCACAGATCTCTTCGGATCTCGAGTGCAGCTCCTTCAGGGAGCCACTGACAGGAACAGTAGCACACCCACACCAGTTCTGAAGCACTGTTCCTACTTTATTGAATTATTCAGCCACGTTTGCACACCGGGTACTCATACGGGGGTGGGGTGGGGTATGGGTAGCTGTATATCCCTCCCATCAATGCAATTTCTCCATCCTAGGTGGAGGAGGCTGTGGCGGTGCTACAAGCTCACCAAGCAAAGAAGGAAGCTGCCCAAAAGGTGGGCATCGTTACTGCTACCTCGTAAGCCAAGGATGCTGGTAAGTCCCTGAGTCCTGGCCCATGACTTTGCTGACCAGCCCTATTGCGTTCCTGACCAGTCAGTAGCCTGCTAAGGTCTCTTTTGTGTGGAAAAGCAGCAGCATCAAGGGAGCAAATATGGTTTGGCTCCTGGATAATTTCCTATACTTTCTGCTCGTGAAAATGAGTGGGGGCTGTTCCTTCAAATACATTATTCATCGACTAGCTTTCTGCCATTTAAGAAAACGTCATAATGAATGTCCAATGATTTAAATAATTGTCTAAAATTTAGAATTTTCCTCTATTTAAATTTAGTACCCCGAATAGATCCATAGAATTGAACAGAGTCCTCCTAAAACTGGCGGATTCTCTCTGGAACTCTAAAAGGTGGGATGCTGCCTCCTCATGTCTGCAAGTAATGGGAAGCTCCCAGACAGTTGCTCCAGCATCTAAAGTGTTCTTTTTTTCTCTAGGTCTTGTAAAGGACAAATGGGCTCTCTGAAGAAATCATCTCATTCTGCGTATTTCAACATAATGCAACATATCTCAATACTTTTCAGTGTGTAAAGCTCTTAATATGCCTTGTTTAAAAATACTAAAAACAAAAATCAGGTTCCATATGCAAGAATTCATACCCCTGGCCAAAAGGCGGACATCTTGTTTTTCCATGTGGGATAATGACATTTTTGGACTTGGTTTTAATCAGACAATCCCATTTGCAAAATCAATAAATAGAAGTATTTTATGAAATTGCTGCCTGTCTATCTGCAGTCCTTGTGGGATTCTGATGCAGCCACATTGAACTGATTTGAAACTCTTCAAGGGCCCTTCTTGTTGGGACACCCACTAGCAACTGGAATAAGAGGTTGATTATTCATGTAGCTTTATACGGGAGTCCATATAAAGTAGCACAACTCTTGAGAATCAACTAGTTCTAGATTTTCTAGTGAGTGCTTCCTGATTACCTCAAGTCACCTTAACAAGCTGTGTGAGGAAAGCGTAAGAATATTCCAATGTTATTTGCCTTACATTTCAGGAAAATACTAATCGGCATACAAATCCTTTGAGTATATCCAAGATCTTGCATGCAAACAATCTGAAGAGAAAAAACTATCTGACAAATTTATACAATCTCATTTAGTAATTTCTCAACTTTTTTTCTCAATTTATGTGCAATCATCTGATAAAAAGCTTTGTAATCTATTGAATTAAGTAAAAGAAAAAAAAATATGTTAGGTCAGATGAAAGGCCTAAATATTCTTGCATCTTATTTGCTGTTGGGGTTGAGCTGTTGCTGCTGGAAACTAGCTGTTTCCTGCCTAGCTGAGTAGCGTCAAAGGCTGAAAGGCTTCTTCATCTCTGAGAGCGCCTAATCCTCTACAGTTATTTGTCAGGTGTCACATCTTGTGGCAGCAAATGCCAAATAAAATTTGAACTGTATGTGATCCTTTTACTCAAAATTCCCCATTTTATTTTGTTGGATTTTAAATGAGAAAGGAAGGTTCTAGGCTCTTCCTCATGACCTGGGTTAGAGTGCTCTTTCAGTCCTGAAATTGGCAGAAAATTATACCTGTGTAACATGCATGCATGCATGGATGCAACTTATATGGTTCTCAAACTGCAATTCTGAACAGGTAACATAGGATTAGAAACACAAAGTTGAGCCTACTAACAGTGCCTATCCTGCCACAGACAGAGGGCAGGCAAACAGTGCTGTCCTCTTTAGATGATTAAAAAGAGGGATTGGTGGATTCTCCTGGATTTCTTTCCCTCTCCCATCACTGAGATGGGAAACATTCTTCAGTTTCCTTAACATGGGCTGGAGAGGAGGCAGGTTTGGCTCAGTTTGTTGGCTTTCAGATTCTGTGTTTACATTCATTGGGAGCCTGATTCAAATAAGAGCTGGATTTAGCGCTGTTCCAGCAGGGAGGGCAGCCTGGAAGGTGCCGGGTGCAAGCTCCAAAAGGAATGAAATAGGAATAGAATAGAATCTGGAAGGGACTTTGGAGGTCTTCTAGTCCAGCCCCCCCCCCCCCCCGCTCAAGCAGGAGAACCTATGGCAATGTCCGGCGCCGGGTCCTCCTGCCTCTGGGGGCGCTGTTGCGGCCCGGGCGCCCGGAAGTGACGCCTGGCGAGGTGAGCGCAGCAGCGATGGCCTCCAGCAAGCGGGTTCTCTACGTGGGTGAGCGGCGGCGGCGGCGCTGGGGGGGGGGGGGGCGACGCGCGGCCTGACTGGCCTGACCGGGCTTCTTGCAGGTGGGCTGGCCGAGGAGGTGGACGAACGGGTGCTGCACGCGGCCTTCATCCCCTTCGGAGACCTTACCGACATCCAGATCCCGCTGGACTACGAGACCGGTGAGGGCGGGATGGGAGAAAGGGCTCGATCGCACACACACACTACAAAACATGTTTGGAAGGGCTCTCTCTCGCTCTCGCTCTCGCTCTCTCTGTTACACACACACGCACACACACACACCAGAACAAGTTTGGAAGGGACCCGGGAGGTCTTCTAGTCCAACCCCCTGCTGGGGCAAGAGACAGTTTAGGGCCTAGACCAGGGGTAGTCAACCTTGGCTCTTTTATGACTCGTGGACTTCAACTCCCAGAATTCCTGAGCCAGCTGTGCTCAGGAATTCTGTTCTCAGTTGACTACCCCTGGCCTAGACCATTTCAGACAAGTGACTGTCCAGGCTTTTCTTGAAAACCTCCAGTGATGGAGCACCCACAACTTCTGGAGGCCAGCCGTTTCACTGGCTAATTGTCCTCACTGTCGGGAAATTTCACCTTAGTTCCAGGTTGCTTCTCTGTTTGATTAGTTTCCATCCATTGTTTCTTGTCCTGCCCTCTGGTTCTTTGGAGAATAGCTTGACTCCCTCTTCTTTGGGGCAGCCCCTGAGATATTGGAAGGCTGCTATCATGTCATCCTTAGTTTTTCTCTTCATTAAACTACACATACCCAATTTCTGCAGCTTTTCTTCATATGTTTTAGCCTTCAGCCCCCTAACCATCTTAGTTACTCTTTTCTGCACTCTTTCCAGAGTCTCAACATCTTTTTTACATCATGTTGATCAAAACTGAACATTATTTCAAGTGTGTTCTTACCAATGCATTAGAGATTGACTATAGCAATGTAGAATATCTCTTGATGCAGCCTAGGATTGCATTGGGTTTTTTTGGCAGCTGCCGCACACTGCTAGCTCATAAAGTGTTGGCTATTTCTCCCAGACAGCTTTCTGTTTGCAAATTTGATGAGTTCCTGTTCTATCCCCTCATCTAAATTATTTATGAAGCTGTTGAGGAGTACTGGACCTAAATCAGAACCTTGGGTACCCCCCACCCCTGCACTGCTGTTACATGACCTGCAGCTGCTGCCAGTTTACTTCCAGGTGCAAGTCCAATTCAAGGCCCTTTTGGCATAGGTCCAGTGTGTCTGAGGAGCCCTCTCACCCTGATGGGACTAGCCTGCCTCACTCATTCTAGCGGAAAGGTTCTACTTTGGATCTCATCTGCCAAAGGGATCCAGGAGACAAACCTTTTTTGCTGTGGCCCCTGACCTCTGGAATATTCTCCCCTTGGAGGTGAAATTCACCCCCACACTCCCGGCCTTCCAGAAGAGTCTAAAAAATTGGCTCTGCTGCTTGGCCTGGGGCCTCCTGCGTTGGTGTTGGTACAAAAGATCCTCACCCCAGACTGCCCAACATCTTGGTTAGTTTTCCTATTCGGTTTTTCTAATTTTATTGTTTCCTAGTATTTTTTACTTTTTATTATATTGTAATCTGCCCAGAGTCACTGTATCAGTGAGATGAGTGGCCTAGAGGCTTTATAGTAAACAGTCCAGCCCCGAGTCTTAAATGGGCACTTGGCGGTTGGAAAAGAGATTGTAGAAACTTGGACTGGGCTGAGTAAAAGGTTGGGCTCTGTGTTCGTTCCAGGATAGAAACTGGTTGCAGCTCAGCAGTGCTCTTGGGCCCTTGTGACGGGTGGGGTGACAAGGAGATGGAGGCAGTTTGGTGGGAGTGTCAAAATGGTGCAGCTGCTGTCTTGACTCTTCCTACTCCTGACACCCATTTTTTTGTGAAAAGTTCAAAAAATTTCAGTTGATCTCCCTATCGAGATGAATATTGAGGTCTGTTTCCTCAAGTACTGACGTTTGATGTTTCTCTTTTGTCTACAGAAAAACACCGAGGCTTCGCTTTCATTGAATTTGAGCTGGCTGAGGTGAGCGAGGAAGGCATTTTCAAGCTTTTTTCATCCTTTCGCCCTGTTTGGGGTCAGGTGGGGAGGGTGAATCCCTGAGCTCTTAGAAGGACTGCATGAAATCCATTTGGGTAGGTGACATCTCTGGAAATGGCATCGATCAATTATCAGAGCACGGATACGTCTGAAGGCCAAATTTGCCCAGTCTTCCCATTGCCGTATGGTTTGAAAGAAGGTGCTTCCAAGCTGGCAAATGATAGATAAATGATGTTTCCAACCACTTCCACCTTTGGCATTCTTCAAACTTCAGCATGTTTCTTTGCTACCAAAAATTCAAGCAGTGCACCGGCGAGGATTGGAAGCTTGCTTAGTAAAAGGTTTCTGTAGACCTAGCAGGTTTTCTAGGTTCATCCATCTTGCCCAGATCTTGGTCAGATTATTTCTCTCGGTACATTACTTAATGCCATGACCACAACAAAGGAGGAAAAACTACGTAAAGGGACAATCTGTCCTAAATGATTCCTCTTCTTTCTTTTAGGATGCTGCAGCTGCTATTGACAACATGGTAAGTTTATCTTTAAATCTTTATTTCATTTTTCAGCAGTTTCAAACATTTTCTTCCTTTCTTCCCAAGTGGTTGAGATCATTAGGGGAAGCTGAGCCTTTCTCAGAAACAGCATGTCTTTCTCTTTGGCTTCCAAAGATGAGCAACCCCTTTCAGGAAACCATGGAAGGCTGGTACCGCCTTGCTTTCTGTTTCTGGAGGAGTGAATACTTCCACTTGTTGGGTTTTTCAAATCCAGTTTTAAAACCAGGCAGGCAGAAGCCTCTTTGCCCAGTAAGGGAGTCCTTCCATGGGGCCAGAGGGAAGTTGAAGCGGTGGAGGCAGATGATATGAATCTGGGTGCTAATGCACTGGAACAAGACTCAAGATGATTGTTGCAGGACACAGAAACACAGCATTGATACTGAGCTGAATTCCTTGGCAAGAGAGGAATAGAACAGAGTAACAAAATTGGAAGGGAGTGTGGAGGTCTTCTAGTCCAACCCTCTGCTCAAGCAGGAGATCCTATACCATTCTGCATCTCTTCTGAAAAACCTCCAGTGATGGAGCACCCACAACTTCTGGAGGCAAGCCCTTCCACTGGTTAATTGCTCTCACTGTCAGGAAATTTCTCTTTAGTTCTAGGTACTTCTCTCCTTCATTAATTTCCATCCATTCTTCTTGTCCTGCCTTCTAGTATAAAATAATGACGTCCCTCCTCCTTCCCTGTTCCATTTAGAACGAATCTGAGCTCTTTGGGAGGACTATCCGTGTCAACCTGGCCAAGCCAATGAGGATCAAAGAAGGCTCCTCCCGTCCAGGTGAGCAGCGGAATTCAAGATCACAAGGAATCTCCAGCCCACATACTTGTGCTTGTTCTGAGGGAAGTCCTTCAGGCCTACTTGTTTTATAAGTTGATATGCTCAGATCACAGGTTCTCTGAACTTTTTCTGTTTTTCCATGACAGTCTGGTCGGATGATGACTGGCTGAAGAAATTTTCGGGAAAGACACTTCAGGAGAATTTGGAAGAAGAGGGAGCGGTGGCAGCCCGGTCAGAGGTTCAAGAGGTACAGCGGCATTCCTTGGTGAAAGGCCACATGGGCCTGAGTGGTTTCTGTCTCCCAAGATGCCCATCTCATCCTAAGACCTTTTGGGGCTATGATAGGTTTGCATAAATGTGGGCTTCTGTGAGCTGGACACAAATTTAGTCTGCGAAGCCTCCATGATTGTACATGAGCATTTGATTGCAGTATTTAGTATTACCTTCCATTTTCTCCAGATGCTAAAATGGCATATATTTTCCTGCCAGCAACTCTGGAGCGAGGGGAGAACCAAGGAAGTAACCTGTCCAGAGTCACCCACCGTGATTTAACAAGTGGATTTGAATTTGGATCTTTTCAATCTGTTATTTAGCTGGGTAGCCACTGCATCACAGTGGTTCTTATCTTATCCCCTTCTCAGCTGTCTTCTTTAAAGCAGAGGAAGGAGGAGAATGGCTCGTAGATAGCCATCTTCTAGATCCATGGAAGAAGCTCTGTTTCTCTTCTGTTAGGGAGAACCACCAGTGAAAAAATCCAGGACCAACCCCCAGGTTTACATGGAGATCAAGATTGGAAATAAACCTGCAGGTCGATTGCATATTCTCTTGCGGTCAGATATTGTCCCGATGACTACTGGTAAGAAGCAATGGAATCCATTGTGCTTGGTGTGAACCTTCCTGGTCCATGGCTTTTTCAAGTTGCTCTTGTGTTACTGGAACTTGCAGTGCTAAGTTACTATCCAAAATTGGGAGGGCTCTCCTGTTAAGACACAGAAAGAAATTGGTGAATAATCCAGACCTCTTTTCTCCAGTGACAGCCTTCCTCACTCTGGACCTCTCCATACGTTGAGACTGCAGCTTTGGGGTGACCAATATATTTGGGGTGATCAGCATACCTGGAGGGTCTCTTGTCTCAAGCGTTGTAATCTTGAGGATACCAAACTGGCAATATTTTCCTTGTGCTATGCAGATGTGTTGGTCATAATGGTGTAATGGAAGTCACATTCTCAACATTTCTGGAGAGTACAAAGACAGCAAATCAAGAAATAAGGTTCAGTCATCAGATGCATAGCAGTTCCTCTGTTTCTTGCCACAAGTGAGCCCACTTAGAAACCAGAAACACAGGTTTTCACTTTAAGGGTTTTGTTTCTCATCACAAAATTTCCTGAGCCTAGTCTTGTGAAAAATTCAAAATTGTTTCTATTTTAAGAGTTCTGGCTTGTCCCAGACTTGTAGCAATGTTTTTTTTGCACCTTGCTAAAGACTGAAAGATATGGCTTTCCTTGCTTCTTTTCTAAACTTACAGGATTTGTGTTGAAGTGATTGTTCAGCACATTTCTCTCCATTTCTGTACATGCTGGATGCTTGAGGGTTTTTTTAAATACTTATGAGTGCAATAGCTTTAGGTTTTAAGTGCATAGTGTATAATCATTTTGTAAAATTGCCTCTTCAAAAATGTGTAATTTTCAATTAAAATAGATTTCATTAAGTGCCACAAATTGTAATTTATCACCTGTGTGTTCATAACTCTTTTGTTGGGCCAAGCCCTTGGAAGACAGAGCTAAAGTCTGAGGCAAAAAGATCAAGCCTAAAACAAAGATATAATTCACTTAAGCAGGTGAGATGTGGTGCTCCACTCTAGATCCCATGGCAGCAGTTGGAACAACTGGAATTCAAGAGAGCAACAGTGATAACAGAGGGTGAAAGCACAGCTGTCACTGGGTTTTAACTGTTACCGTGACCCCATTTTTAAGTGGGACGCCATTTTAAGAGGCACCGCCTGTTGTTTCCGCCCTTCCCTTTGCCACTTCTGCTGCTTCATTGCCCTACTTGCCCTCTGACTTGCAGAGAACTTCCGCTGCCTTTGCACACACGAGGAAGGCTTCGGCTTTAAGGGAAGCAGCTTTCACCGAATTATCCCCCAGTTCATGTGCCAGGCTGGAGATTTCACCAACCACAACGGCAGCGGCGGGAAGTCGATCTACGGGAAGAAGTTTGATGATGAGAACTTTATCCTGAAGCACACGGGGCCAGGTAGAGTGTGGCAGGGCTGCTCAGAAGGTGGGGTGTCCAGGTGGCAGTGCAAAGGACACCGAGTCCTTGTTCCCTTCCTCCTTCACTTCTGCATGGCTCAAGTGCCCAGCGGTCCTGCCTCTGGGAGGAATTGGTTCTACAAAAGCTAAATTCCTCTGCAAGATTTCCACACAACTGACCGACTGCTTGTTTGTGCATGTATTTTTTCGAGCACTTGAACCGTTCCATTCCATTTCTCCAACCCCACTGAACAGAAGGAAATGGTTGACTATAGAGGCAATTCTTCTATGGCAAGAATTGCAGTGCTGGGGGCTTCGCTCTCTCCCCCCCCCCCCCCGTCTCTTATTAGGGCACCACCCAGGTTCTTTTGTGCAGTGACAGCCTTTCAGAGCTAGAGCCCCTTCTTCAGCCTTTGCCCTTGCAACAAGGACTATTGATTCCAACAGCAGTAGGAACAGTGGAGCCCCATGTTTTGCTGAATTTCATTCCAAATACTGACTGGGAGTTGTCCCCAAAAGTTTCCATGGAAAGTGGTTGTGGACACAATGTCCATGTGTCTCTCCAGGTTTGCTGTCCATGGCCAATTCTGGTCCCAACACCAATGGCTCCCAGTTTTTTATCACTTGCGACAAGACTGACTGGCTGGACGGGAAGCACGTGGTCTTCGGAGAGGTTACCGAAGGGATGGACGTGGTGCGGCAAATTGAGGTGAGGGTGAGCCTTTGTGGGTGAGTGGCCTGGCTTTGCCTCTCTCCCTTCCACGTCTTATTTCTCTCTTCCTCTGAAGGCTCAAGGCGGCAAAGATGGGAAACCAAAGCAAAAAGTCATCATCTCTGATTGTGGTGAATTCATCTGAATGTGGGTGCAAGCAGATGCTGGTTGGGAATACCGGATAACAGGAAGACCAAGCACACCATCGCTTCGCTCTGGATGAAAACTATTTGGGATACTTTTCTAAAAATTCAGTCAGAGTCTGTTTTATGTGTTAGAACTGTAAAGCTGTTAAGAGATTTCTTTTGTACAGAATTTTTCTTTCTATAAAATTATATATATATTTTACAACAGACCCGCCTTTTAATTTCCCATAAATACTCTTTAAAGGTTTACTTTGAATTGCTTGCAGATTTAGCAGTTGGTGCAACCTGTCTCAATCTGAGTTTTCCATTTCTTTCCATGCTGGAAATTATAGAAGCCAAAGTCCAACCCATCCATGTTTCACAGGTGAGAGGGATGCGTTTGCCATGGCAAGAAGCCAAACTGCTCAGGCCACTTCATTTGCTGTTTCAGGAAAGATCAACTCTCACATTTTGTTTTCATCATGAAAGGCGCTAACTGCAGCTGAGGTTAATGGTGCCCTTTGTTTTTTGCATCAATGGGAACCACAGCAGTTGGTTGGCAGAAGAAAACGACATTGGAAACAAAAAGTGCCCGATTTCTCGTAGCTGCTCTTGAGGGGAGGAGGAAAGCCCTCAGATCTGAAGCTTGGGCATGTAAGTTTTTTGTAGTTCTTCATTTTACTTGTATGTGGCTCACTCTGCCAGGGAAACGCTCCAGAATAAATTACAATATCCATGGTAGGAAGATTCCAATAAGATATTGTACTGAAATTGTACAATTGACAATGGTAATGTTAGAATAAAATTGACAGTGATTTCGTCAGTAGCTCAGTTAAGATTCAGAAGTATTAAGTGGCTGGAAAAGAAGACCCAGCACTTTTGCAAGGTGTCAGGGCCCACTTCAAAACCTCATCCTAAGAAAGCAGAACTCGTGGAAGCCGTTTCTTCCAAAAGGAACTTTTATTAGGAGAAGCTGATAGCAGGCATAATAGACAGCATCTGGGGTTTTCCCCCTCAGACCAATAGGTTAAAAGAGTCCCAAGCGAACCCCACCTCAGTAGTTCAAACTATTCAGTTCAAACGGAAAGAGCTGATAACACTGGCCCCACCCACCGTCTTCCCAAAGTTTTGCTCTGCTCTGCTCTTCAGTGGCCGAGGGAGTTTCCCAACAGCAGCTGCAAAGCAAAATCCCCAAATCTGGACTTCTCTGATGAAAATGTGCATGGATTAAAATCCCAGTTTTAGGAATCAAAATGACTGGGTCCACACAACATACTAAGATGTTCTTTTATTATCAAGTTCTTTTGGACTTTAGTTGCTATCAGCCCGTCAAAAATTCTGGAAACTGTAATCAAAACCTGATGGTTTTTGGAGCTCTAGTTCCTTTATGGACTAAATTTGCTTCTTGACTCACATCCCATCTTGCACTGGTGGCAGGCCACCACGTGGACAGTAAGAGGTTAGACTTCCAAGTCATTAGCAGACTCAGAGACTGAACTCTAAGAGGACTTCTTGGAAGTTTCATGTAGATCAGCCCGTCCCAATCTGGTATCTTCAGATGAGCTGGACTGTGATCAGTCCACTAATGCAAGGAGATAGCAAAAAAAAAAAAAAAGAGGGGGGCAGCAGGGAAAAAGAGGAACTGCTTAATCCCTTCTTAACATTTGTCTTTACACAAAAGAAATAAAATAGCCCAACCTATCAGAAGCAGCACAGGGGGAGGCAGAACAGGAATTCAGGTCCAAATAGATAAGAAATTAGTAAAAAAGTTCAAATAGCCAGGTCCAGGTGGTTTAAATTTCAGGGTTATGAAGGAGCTGGCAGATATGATCTCAGAATCACTGACATCATCTTCCAGAGCACAGGGGAACTGCCAGAGGACTGGAAAAGAGCTGATGTGATCCCAATCTTTGAGAAGGAAAAAAGCAGATCCAGGAAACTACAGATCAATCAGCTTGACATCAATATCTGAAAATCCTGGGAAAGATAATCAAGCAGTGGATTTGTGAGCTCCTAGAAAATGAGGAAGGCAATTACTAGAAGCCACTTTTAAGTGTCATGACTATTATCCTGCTCCATTTTTCCTGGGCAGGTTGNGTGATCCCAATCTTTGAGAAGGAAAAAAGCAGATCCAGGAAACTACAGATCAATCAGCTTGACATCAATATCTGAAAATCCTGGGAAAGATAATCAAGCAGTGGATTTGTGAGCTCCTAGAAAATGAGGAAGGCAATTACTAGAAGCCACTTTTAAGTGTCATGACTATTATCCTGCTCCATTTTTCCTGGGCAGGTTGTAATACCACTACACTGTAGTGTAGTCTGTTTTGTTTTTGTTTTTGGCAAGGCACATGTGTGCTAATAGGTCACGAGGGATTTTAAGATGTTAAAACTTAGAAATATGTATTAGGCAACCAATAGTTCTGTAGAATGTTATACTCAAATGGAAGTTTTATTTTAAAAAAATGATTTTAGTTCTGTCTTCTTAAAACATGCAGTGGGGAATCCTTTATCTACTGCAAAACATTGTGACTTTTTTTATGGCCAGCATAAAACCTATATTATTTTGAGCCCTGTTACAGAACATGTCAAGAGCTGTTTGTGTAACATGCCATATCTCTGTTGCCAATGACTGTTCCTTTATTTGGGATGAGAAAACAAATTTCTCAGGGGCAACAATGCTGTAATGGATATTTATTCAAGTTGCTTCATTTCCTCTTTCTTTTATTTGCAAATTCCTCCCTACCAAACTCAATAGCATCAATTTTCTTAAAAAGTTTGTGCTACCATTTGTGCATATTTCTCATTTACATATTCATTTGCAATCTGATTTAATTGTACATCGTCTATAAGCAATTCTTCTTAGCTAATGCATTAACTTCTATGCAAGATATATATTCCATTTAATATAGAGATATCCTTTTAACGTTGCAAGACAAAATTTGGAGAGAAATTAATTTCTAATGAACAGTGTGCTTCTGTTTGGGTATGATTGCAAAATGTGAAATTGGGTAAGTTTGTATTAAGCAGGCTAAACTCTTTTTTCCCTGGCCCCAGCCTCTCAGCTGCTCTCTTCTCCCCAGTTGATCAAGGCCTGAACTGGTAGGCGGTGTGTGCGTGCGTGCGTACCTGCGTGCCTTCTAAACATCTTGCCCGGGGATCTCTCCACTTGGCCAGATTGACAGCAGAGCCTCTGGAGGCAGCTGCTTTGGAGAAGTGGGAGTGCCACAGGTTGCACACATTGGTTTATGCCAAAGTCTCTGGGCACGTAGCAGGGCTCTCTCTGAATCAAAGGAATATGAGAACAGAGCAAAGTTCGGAAGGGGCTGCCAAGGAAGCGCCTGGCTATGGTTCTGCTCGCGCCGCAGCAATGGTGCTGTTGGGACCAGGAAGGGTTGCCAGCTGTGCACTTCGTACTTGGGGATTGGATGGACTTAAACTGGACACTTGGCTGTTGAGAGGGAGTTTAGGAAGAGGCTGGTTTAATGTGACGTTTCATGTGGGAAAACTTTAGATCTTGCTTAATGTAAGGTCCTGCCTCAACTCCTCCTCCCAAGAAAGCATTGTTTCAAAAGGAACTTTTATTGAGAGATAGTGATAGCAAGAGAGCAAAGCAAGATCTAAAGTTTCCCGCACGAAGAGTCACATTAAATCAGCTCCTTCCCAAAGTCCAGCTCAATGGCCAAATGTCCAGTTTAAGTCCATCCAATCTCCAGGTGCGAAGTGATAAGCGGCCGTTCCTGTGGTTTTGTTTCTCTCCCAGCGTCCTCCCATCAAGTGGAGATAAGGCAGATGACCCATGGCACATTCCTTTTTTCGTTCACACCCAGAGGCATCAAAGGGGTAACGAACAAAGTGGAGAAAACCCAGATTCCCCCCCCCTTCTAGCAGACCTGGCAGTTAAGGGCCATTCTCCCCCTCCCAGCAGAATGACAGACCCGAAAGCAGATCTAATAAGCAGAGTAAATGGCAATAGAGCTGAGGGTCTGACATCGGCCCACATCTGGGGATCCCTGCAAGTAGCCACCCCTCTTGCTTGTTGCAGAATTACGGTTATTTGATAAACTGCAGTCTGCATTTGCACAAAATAAGTCTATTTGATGTGTCTGGTTTAATGTAATTTGTGGTGCAGGATCAGGGGGTGGGTGGAAGAGGTCAATCCAAAATACAAGCCAAAGATATGTTTGCAGCCTGTTCATGTTTTCACTTCCTTGGCAAAGCTGTTTCTCTGTGGGAGACTGTTTGTTTGGTTAAGAAGAAGCACCTCTCGTAGCAGCAGGAGTCCATGGCAGGGCCCTGTTGTCCATAGGCCCTCCTTCGTCCCAGTCCACGGGACAGGTGGATCTCTTTCCCTGTCCATCAAGAGGTCTTCCTCTTAGAAGCAGGTAGTAACCGTGCTCCCCCATCCGTACCTGCTCCCCCAGAAAGGGTCTGGGTCTGCCACAGTGTTAGTGGCAGCCACAGGACTTCACCACCATGTTCCGCTTTTTCCTGAGGATAACGTTGTTGTTGCTGTCATAAAAGAGAACGAAGATGGCACTGAGCTTCGTGGGGGCACAGCAAGCCTTGGGAACAGCTTCGGGCTTCATCAGGTGGACCTACAGGGGAAGGAACAGAGTCACTGGGGCAGGCAAGCCTCTTTCCGCAGGGCTGAGCTTCTGGCCTGGAGCAGAAGGTCAAACCCTCCTGAAGACACCCCCTTGTCCACCGCCCCCTGGCCACTCTCCGCAAGGAAGAGGAAATGCTTTAAAGAAACACTGGTTCCCAGGAGAAAATGCAGCAGTTTTCATGAGTGGGCCATTTGTCAGCCCTGGCAAAAATATTTATTCCAAAAACTTTGAGGCTGCCGTTTATGTTGGAAGCTATTGCAAGGCATGGCTGAGGGGAGGAACAGCTGCTGCCTTCAGAGTCCCAACTGCTTCCTGATCTCATCCGTGGCAGAAGGAGGACCTGTCCCGCTGCAACTGGCGCTGGGACACAGGCACAATTCTTGCTAAAACAGATGGGCTGTACATGCCCCACCTCCCAAAGAAGAAAGCGACCAACAGTCCAGGTTGCTGCTCACAACCTCCCTCTCTCCAGCAGTCACAGTTGAGGTGGAGGCCACAAGTGTGCAATCCAAAGCCTGGCCCTTGTTGCTGTGTCTTGTGTCCACAATCCTCTTAAAAAGGGGGGACAGCCAGTGGCCCCCAGGAGATGCTCAGAGTAAGCCAACTACGTGCAGGGTGTGGAGCTGCAGTTATTGTCCCTTCTTCCTCATCCTGCATACCTCAGTTAACTCTTTTTAAAGGAAGCAAGTCTCAGGGATACTGGGGGCTTTGGGGGTGGAAGGAGGAAGAAGGGAAGGAAGGGAGGAGGAGGAGGAGGAGGAGGAGGATTGCTTCCAGCCTTTTCTCACTGAGCTCAAGTGCAGAAAGAAAGAGATTAGCTCTGATGTGTGAATTGGCCCTTTGGTGGTGAGCTCTGCTGGAGAAAGGGCCACTTTGTCCCTAGCAGGCTGAGGCGCTCTCAACCTCATGCAGAAGAGACTAACTTTGGCCAGACAGCTTTTTTCCTTGGGGTCTGGAAGAAATGTTATTCACGTCCTAGACTATGAGATCTCCATTTCTGTCTTGGAGAGATCCAAAAAGGGACAAAATACAGCAAAGCTCAAGCCTTCTTCACACCAGATCACAAACAAAAGCAACTGGACTCCCTTTTTCGAGCAAGCCTCAGTTGCACGGGGATCTTAGTGAAGGCGAAGAGGGTTGCTGCTACTCTTCCACCAATAAGGGCTTGGGCAGGGACACCCGGGGTCTAGCCCGCCCTCCTTCAGCCCCTGACGTTCCCAGGGCAGTGGAGGGGAGACTGGACTGGAAAGGGGAGGCCGCTTCTGGTCTGTCCTCTGCCACAGCAGCTCCCCAGGGGGATTTGGGGCCAGACACTCCTCCCCATCTTGGTGTACTCCAGAAGAGGGTTGTTGTGGGGGAAATGGGGAGGGGGAGTGCCTTGTTTGTCCCTTAGAACTCCTAGAGATAAATCCAACAAAAAATAAAATAGTATGATAAAATAATACAATAAATTGCTGTCCATCTTCCCCAGTTGCTAAGAAGCCCTCCTGCTGCCTCCTGCAAAAGATACTGACCAGTGACTGGACGATGGCATGGTTGGTGGCGTTCATGGAGGAATTCAGGGGAAACACACAGTCTCCATCACAGTAGAATGCGGGGTAACTCTGGGGGGCAATCACCCAGTCCTGGGGGAGGATAAGGACGAAGGTAAGCCCCTGCACGCCTGCTGGCAGCTCAAAGGAAACTGGTGAGTAGGCCAGGCAATTGTACTTTGGCAATTTCCTGAATCATCTGATACCAGAGACACCAGATCTAGAAGTTCTGGGTGCTCCTTCACTGGAGATTTTCAAGAAGAGATTGGACAGCTATTTGTCTGAAATAGTATCGCGTCTCTTGCTCAAGCAGAGGTTGGCTAGAAGACCTCTTTCCAACTCTATTATTTTATGTTCTATGTTCTACACTTGGGGGCGGGGAGGTTAACATTAACTTTCACTTCCAAAAGGTTAACCCTCAAGCTGAGCAGATCAAGCAGAGTTACAACAGGCCCTTTCCTCTTTTCTCTGAAGCCCTTTGCAGCAGCCCCCTCCGGCAGGAGCACCTTCCCTCCCTATAAGCCAGAGAGCCCCTGGGGCAAAGCGGCAGGGTGGGCAGGGGTGCCTGCACCCACAGTTAATTTTTTACTGGGGACTGAAGACGAACAGAGTTAAAAATAGTTACCAGCCAATCAAAATCCTGAAACTTGACGTTCAACTCGTGCCTTCGGCAGACCTGGCTGTACTCAGAAACATAGACGTCATCTAAGGAAGGAAAAAGAGGTGGGAGTTCCTGTTACGGAGCTCTGCAACCAACAACGGGATCTCCAGCCTTTTGGTGCTGGGAAGGGGAACGTATCCCACAGCCCCACTCCCTGTGCCTGGCTCGGACTTCCAGCTGTCCTGCCCCACAGGGGAGGTGGCCACAGCCTTTCTTGCCAGTCCTTAGCCACAGCTCTGGGCGATAAAGGTGGGCAAGGGCTTGGCCCCAAGTGTGGCTCCTCCCTGCCCACAGCTGCTTTCTTGTGAGCCAGACCTCCCAGGCCGTGACACTCTGGCCTCAAGGGCAGCACTCTGGGGAAACCTCCCCTGGGCCACGGAGCTCCCCAAAGGAGGAGCAGATCCAAAAAGGCACCAGCTGAGCTGCCTCCAGATGCAAGGATCGGTTCTGCAACGGGATCTTGTTAACCTTTCAGACTCCCAGGAGGGTCAAGAGAGGGCAGTGGCCAAAGAGCCGCTGCCTGCTAGAGGCGGTCAGATGAGAACTGCTAGCAGCCTCCGCTTGGCCCACCTGCATGCCAGGAAAATGGCTGCTCTCAACTTTCTTCAGGGTGGGGGAAGTCGACAGGTGCAAAACACGTGTCTTCCGTGTGCTTGGAGTATGTTTGAGGGCCAAGCAAATTCTGCTGAAGCCTGGCAGGTGTGCAGCTGAATTTCCACTAGGCAGCACAGCCAAGGAGGGCTGCAAAGCTGCAGGTTGAAAAGGCTAATTCTGCATCTCCATCCAGACTTGATCCGGTGTAAAGGAGTCTGTGATGCCTCCAGCTGTTTCTCAAGCCCTGAGCTGCCACTTGGTGGGCGGATGCAGCCCCAGGGTGTCCAGAGGAAGGGCAGAAACAGCAAGAGGGCAGCAGAGTGCTGTGCACACAAACAGGTGGAGCTTGAACTGAGCCAAAAGTCTTCCTGTCTTTCTGCTTCTTACCAAAAAGCCCCGGGAGCCTGTTGGAGTGTGGGAAGTTGTGGGTCTTCCTGGTCTGCGGCCGTCGCTTTGCCTGCTTGGCTGCTCGGGGGAGCCTGACCTGGTTTTCGCTCTCCTGGAAAAAGGTCACCACGAAGGGCTGCTTGGAACGTGGTCCTTGGCGACCCAGGAGGCCGGCCAGGCCTGGGTCCACACTCTCTCCTTCAAAAGCCAAAGAACAAACCCCGATGACGCTGCCAGACTAATAATGGAGCTCCTTCAGGCGATGAGCCTGGCAGGACTCCCACACTGGGGGTTGGGCTGGAACACCCAGCTGCAGGAAGAGGATTCAGAGATGCCCTCTGAAGCACAAGGTGGAGGGAGGGCTGTAGCAGCCACATTGGGGTGGGCGGTCTCCTTCCCTCCAAGCATCTGCCTCTCTAGCACAAAAGAAGGGGGGGGGGGAAACAGAGCCGGCCCTAAAAATGACTGTGCAAAGGAATTCTTATGGCCCTCGAATCCTGTGGGACTGCATGATTTCCAAAGAGAAATGCAATGCCCAGTGCATTTGTTTGACATTAAATCCTTAAAAATGAATTGATTTACTGCTCCACCAGCTACTTTTTCTTACTATTGTTTTGCACAATGTTGGGACAATTTTGTCTCCAGAAAGATTGCAAGTCTAAAATTTTAAAAAATAAAAAGATGTTAGGAAGCAAGAATGAACTAATTGGATAGGATTTCAGCAGGAATACCTTCTGTTGCCTGAAAACATGACCGACAAAGAGCAGGAGACAGAAACTTCTAATTAATACTGCAAGGGTCTAATTAATGCAAGGATAACAGTTATTTCTGAATAAACATTGTAGAAGGGAATGGGGGCAGACATGTGGATGATATAGTACTGTTTCAGCTGCCTTGAAGAACATCTGTTTAAATTGAATTTAAACTCAATTCCTAGCTGACTGCAGAATTAAGGAGCATTAGGGAAGCAGGAACTTTTGATAGCTTCACATAGCAACGTAATTGTCCATTCCTTTTAGATCAATGGTCCCCAACCTTTCTGGCTCCATGGACTGGCAGCAGTGGTGGCAATGGTGGGCGGGAGGGAATGGTTTCGTGTACACGCACGCCACTTGCATGGACTGGTTCCAACAAGCTGCAGACTGGTACCAGTCCACGGGCCGGAGGGTTGAGGACTCCTGCTTTAGATGAACCGAAGTTTCTGTTTACTGAAATCCCCCACGGGAATCTCCTCCCTTCAAAGAGGAATGATAGAAAACTAAAATGGACAAAGCAATACATTAGCCTTACCATCCTCTGTCTCCACATAAAGTCTCAACCTCAGATTGTATTTCCGGTTCAACAACCAGTGGTTACTAGCAGCTGTGACATCGAAGGTCAGCCATCCATCCATGCCAGCCAGAGATTCCTGAAGATCTAAGAACACGCGCTTGGATTCCCTGGAGGAGTAGAAAGTATAGCTGAGCCTTTCAAGTTAAAATGGAAGCAGTAAATGGCCAGATGTTATCACAAACTGTCAGAGAGCTTTGGTTCTTGAGTGGTTTAAAAAAGGAATTAAGTAAACCCCACCCACCCATCCCCAGCCCTTGAGCGCACCCTTCCAGACTGAGATACCTGCCCTTGGGTTTGATCCCGCCCAATGGCAGGCTAGTGACAAGAACCACGGTTCTCGTCTTCCCACATTCCTAAATTCTGACCAAGGAAAGCAGGTCAGGAAGGCAGGCTTGACACAGAAAAGCCTGAAATCAAAAGTCTTGGTCTCTTTGTACCTGTTCTGATGCTCTTGAATGACCTCGTAAATGCTGATATGAAGGGTCTGATTAACATGGCAGGTGAAACTTTTCATCTTGTAAATTCGGAATTCGGCCGCCATGACAGTCTCCCCCGTCGGGATCTGAGTTACGTCGAACCTGAATTCTTTCCAGTAAGGCTTCGGCTGGAAAATGTCTCTGTCCAGCTCAACTGAACACAGTTGCACACAACATCAAAAAAGCAAAGGCATTTATTTGGGCCTCCATTACTTACATTCTCGGCTTCAAATAAGCTCTCAAAGCTTATACATTATTTTAAAAGTAAAATCCAAATTCAACTAATAATAATCGTTAATTAAAAGCAATGCAGCAGTCTAAAATACATTCGGATGGCTAAGAGAAAGTACAGTGAGTAGGACAAGTGATGTTCAATCAATTGGTATCACAAACAGATAAAAAGAAGACTAAAATAATGTTATCTACCTTGGTAACTATACTTGTAAAAATGATCTTGCAATAGCAGTTGATTACAAATAGAGTGTGAGATACAATGTGATGTGATTGCATAAAAGACAAAAGCAATTGTAATTTACTGAATTAAAAGTTTCCAAAATTAGGATTCTATTATATATTATAATTTGGGTGAAAAAAGTGGTAAAGCACAGAAACCAGGACATTGTGAATCCTAATCCCGCAATAGACACGAAAGCCAGATGGGCGACTTTGGGCCAGTCCGTCTCTCTCAGCCCACAGTGTCATGCTGTGGGGACAATTAAATTCTTGTTGAAATCAATGGATCAACACTCAGTTGATCTGGAAAAATTGGATCTGCGTTTGCAGAAAAATGCTAGGAAGAAAAAAAACACTAAAATTTGAATAGAAAAGAAAACCATAAGGCACAGAGAAGGTTACTATAAAACCCATTTTAGGGAGGGCTATTCCCTTGTTGCTCTACAGTGATAGAAACCCTAGGATCAAGTTCTGATTGAATGGATGGAATTTTCTAGATTGTCTCTCCCAGTCTGCAGGTGACAGGAGCATAAAGCATAAGTGAGTTCCTGTTCAGAGAAGTTTACAGTTTGTCATGGCATCACTTCAGCCCTGCTTCGGTTTTAATGACATCCTGCCATAAAAGGAGGGGGGAGGAGTAAGGGAATGACACGATGACAGGAACCAGAGGTGCCAACCAGGAACAGAACCTGGCAGATCCAAGAACACAAGTGTGAGAACGGAATGCAAATATCCACCAAAGAGATGCCAAACTTTAGGACTGTTACCAAAACACCTATTTTGAATACCACTGTACAGTTACGAAAGGACTGGGGGGGGGGGGGGAAGGGAAGAAGGGAAAAGCATTTAAGTTTACACAGGAATATTCAGATCTGGCTTTGCTTACGCTGTAACCACTTGGCTTTAGTAAAAGTATACCTTTCGCTACAAATGGAGTCAAGGGTCTATCTTTCCTAAATGCCCAAACTGGGACAGGCCTGACACAGAATTTCAGGTTAGGGAAAATGCACATATAAGATCTAAGATGAGGTGTCCAACCTTGGCAACTTTAAGATCTATGCATGTCCCCAGCCAGCACTCCCAGTTCCGGGAATGGAAGCCCACAAGTCTTGAAGTTGCCAAGATTGGATACCAAGAGATGGAAGCTCCAAGTGCCTGGTGAGTTAAGGACAAAACTGGTCACATAGAGCCTCCTTGTGATTGTGAGCAAATCTAACAACTTATAAGGAAGGCGTGTGTGTGGGGGGGGAGGAGGCTCTAATATTGCAATGCTCTCTACATGGGGCTCCCCTTGAGGTGCACCCGGAGGCTCCAGCTAGTTCAGAATGCGGCTGCTCGGGGGATTTTGGGGGCCTCTAGATGCTCCCATGTAACACCTCTCCTGCACGAGCTGCACTGGTTGCCGGTGGCCTTCCGGGTGCGCTTCAAGGTGTTAGTAACAACTTTTAAAGCGCTCCATGGCAATGGACCTAGGTATTTGCAAGACCGCCTCCTACCAAACACCTCCCTTCGGCCAGTCCGCTCCCACAGAGAGGACCTCCTTAGAGTGCCGTCGGCCAGACAATGCCGGCTGGCGACCCCCAAGGGGAGAGGCTTCTCTGTGGCAGCTCCTGCCCTCTGGAATGACCTACCCCCCGACCTACGTACAGTTGCGGACCTGCGCCTTTTTCGCCGAGCCCTGAAGGCCCATCTATTCCGTGCGGCCGGCCTGGCGTAGCTTGATTGTGTTTCAGTGGGGGTTTTTTACGGGTGTGTTTTTAGAACAGGCCCGTTATTTAATTCGATTTTAAAACAAACTATTTATTACCGTGGTTTTTAGTATCGCCTGTTCACCGCCCTGAGTCCCGCAAGGGAGATAGGGCGGTATATAAATTTAATAAATAAATAAATAAATATGAGGCCTGGACAAAATAACCAACAATAAATTAACAGCAGCAACACAAAGGAAGGTGTGTTTATAGACCCTTTTGTCTACTGACAGCCAGACCAAAAATAGTTCTGAAGCTAAATGCACTGCAACACGCAGTCCTTAAGAGCAAGATACGGTAGCTTCAAATCCTGCTAAAGGGTCCAATGCAGATGGTGTGTAAGATGGAGGCAGTGATGAGCCCCATACAAGGATAAAGCTAGTTGTACAGTGCCTCCTAGTGGTCAGCAGCAGATTTCCACCTATTTACTTTTCATTCAAATGAAACCCTGCAAGAAGACTCCCCCCCCCATCCCAGATTCAACTGTGTTCTTATTCCAGCATGTCAAGGCATCTTTGTGGGAAAGAATGGCCGTAGGGAGGATTCAATGGCTTCTCATGGAAAACCACCAGTGCACTCCCCTCCCCCCCTTTAGGTGAGATCTGATCTCTATTCAGGGATTGTATCCAAAATGTGGTGCCCCTCCCAAGAAGACTCTTCTGGCTGACACTGGGAAGAAGAGGCTCCATCTGGAAAGGGTCTAGGAGGACTCATTGCAACCAGGTGGGCATGACCAGGTAGGCGTGGCCATTGAATGCTGCCAGGTGGGCGTGGGCAGCTCGAAGTGAAGGAATAGGTGCAGCCCACTTGGGGCAGATGACTTGGGGCAGGTGGGTGGTTGTGGTCAAGTGGACGCAATCACATAAGTGTGGCTGGCTAGGGTGCACCAGGTGGGTGTGGCCAGGTAGGCGCAGAACAAGTCGCCGTGGGCAACTGCAGGTGAAGCCAACTCGGCATCCCACCAGACCAAAAATCACCCAGAGATGTACTGGCAAACACAAAGCAGGGAAGCGGGAACATGTGAAAGGCAAAAGGTGGATTCCCCCCCCCCCCTTTAGCCAAAAAAGCTAATACAATCCTGGGTTGCATAAACAGAGACATAGAATCAAGATCACGCGAAGTATTAGTACCACTTTATCAAACCCTAGTGAGACCACACCTGGAATACTGCAATCAATTTTGATCACCATACAACAAAAAAGATGTCGAGACCTTGGAAAAAGTTCAGAGAAGACCAACTAAAATGATCCAAGGCCTGGAGACTAAAACGTATGAAGAACAGTTGCAGGACTTGGGTTTAGCTAGTCTAAAGAAAAGAAGAAACAGGGGTGATAGCAGTATTCCAGTATTTGAGGGGCTGCCACAAAGAAGAGGGGGTCAAATTATTCTCCAAAGCACCAGAGGGAAGGACAAGAAACAATCAAAGAGAGAAGCAAGGAAAAAGTTCTTGACAGTGAGGACAATTACCCAGTGGAACAGCTTTGCCTTCAGAAATCGTGGGAGCTCCATCACTGGAGGTTTTTAAGAAGAGACTGGACAGTCACTTGTCTGAGATGGTATAGGTTCTCCTGCTTGAGCAGGGGGCTGGACTAGAAGACCTCCAAGGTCCCTTCCAGCTGTATTCTGTTCTGTTCTGTTCTATTCTTTTTTTCAGCCATACTTACTGAAACCTTTAGCTATTAACAAAGAGCCATTTAACTTCCTCTTCCCTAAATCTTTGGCCACCTATTGCCTAGTCCAGAGGGTCCCAAACTTTTGGACACCAAGGACTGGTTCTGTGGAGAAAGGTTTTTCCACGGACTGGAAAGTGTGTGATTTTGTGTGCTTCCTGCATCCCATGGATGGGGCTTTGCTTGTTTGTGGAGACTGGTTGCTGGCATGCCGTGGCCAGGTACTGTTCCATGGACTGGGGGTTGGGGACCCCTGGTCTAGTCTGAGCCACAGGCCCTCTCTGAGTTGCTGACAGAAGGACATACATTTGGAGGAAGGGAAAGAAACAAGACTTTTGGGGTGCAACAGAGAGTAACAACCACTCAAAGGGTCTCATCTTGCCATGATAATGCAAATAACCCAGGACAGGTCGGCCACTTAGCTCGTCCAGCGTGATGAAAAACCCATCCAATAATCGATTTAGATAGTCAAGAGATACAAAATAAATAAATAATCTACTGTTTTTTCTACCACATATTCAGGATGCTTTTCTGGGGTTTTTTTAATTTCTATTGGTCATTGCTTTGGAGATAATGTTACTGTTGTAGGGCACGTGGCAGGCTTTGTGACCTCATTTCTCTTCCTTCGGTGCCGCTTTGGCCGCCTGTCCAGGAAAGGTTCCCCCCCCCAGAAGCCAGGGAGGCTGAAGACCGCTGAGCGATTCTGCAGTGAGGCCCAGGAAGTCCCCAGGGAGACCTTGCTCCATCCAGGAACATATATCCGAATTCTCTTTTCCTCTGGATAAAACTTCAAAACCAAATTCTTTTTACCAAACAGAATTAAGAACTGGTAGAAAAAACAGGCGCGAGGAGTGGTCTGGTTGATCCACAAGCAAGGTGAGAGAGAGGGCTGAAGATCTGCAGGAAGGGAGCTTGAGATCCGGTTTTGTAGGGCTTTAACACACCCCATCCCAGACTCTCTTCCAAAGAATACGAAGCTTGTGCTGCTTTCGCACAAGTCAGAACTTGCTTCCTCCACAGCCCCAACCCACCTTCAGGGGAGAGACGGGAGGCTGGTTCCCACCGCCTGACTCCACCCGTTGCTTCCGGGTGGGCACTTCAAAGATTCTGCACAAGGTGCCTCTGCGCAGACTGACCACAGGACAGAAGGAACGGGGCACCTGAGGAAGAACAGCATCTTCTCCACTGCTGTGTGTGTGTTGAGGAAGCTCATTTGCAGCACCCAGAAAGGAAGGAACTCCCCCCCCCCCCGCCGAACAGGCCCACTTGCTCCTCTCCTTCCC